AAGACAATGAAAAGCACCGGAATGGGAATGCGAGCATCGTGTTTAGGTACATTCAATTGACTATGATAGTCGAATGCATTGAGCCCTTAGTTTGTAAGAGTCAGGCATATTTTATTATTGTGCTAGTTTTAGCGTAGAATATGAATCTTGTGCAGTCTGCTCCGGAATCACTAGACGGCGATTTGATTTTGCAGCTTCATTCCAGCAAGTAAGCCTCAAAGTCCGAATATGATCACATCATGAAAAGACATCGAGAATGTAGAGGGCATCAAGTAAATGACCAGGAACACCGGAAACAATTTGAGTTGACAGTCGCGTCGAGAGTTGTTGACCAGGTGATTCCCACGACGCGTCTAGGCGGACTTTGATTAACAGGTGACGATGGCAAGCAGAGCACAATAGTCTATTAATAAGCTTATCTCTTCATTCTATTCCAACCCGAAAGTTGCCCGGAAGCGACCCAGTAAATAATCCAGAACGCAAATAAATTGATTATAATATAACGATACAACAGGTGCTAAATCAAAGCAAGGCGACGATGCGTATATACTGGCGGGGTATGTATGATAGTGGTACAGAGGGGTATTTGACGGTTTATGCAATGGAGGATGGTCGCAGAGATGGTACAGACAGCGGGTGGTACACGTTACATGTACAGAGTACAGCGAGGAAAGCAAGAACAACGTAAGATGAAAGCGAGGTGGTGATGGTGGTACAGATACATGTTTCATCGGGTGATTCGTTTATTGGTCTGATGGCGTGAAAGCAAGGGAGGAAGCATCGTCAATGCTTTGCATGAACGTAAGCGTTTTGTCGTCGTCGTCATGAGTAATGTCGAGGAGGAAAGTAGAACCAGTCTACACCCTCTTCCCAAACAACGCCCTAACATTCATCCTTGACGGCTTCTTCGCCATCTTCCCCAGAGCAAGCGAGTCCACTGAGCGGAGAGCCGCCAAGCTCACTTTCGAACCCAACCGTGAGCGGAAAGGTGACAAGGGTGTCGGTGGTGGCGGGGGAAGCATCGAGTCTTGCGAGACGTGTGGAGATGCAACGGTCAGAGGAGAAGGCGCGAACGAGTCCTCGATGAAGTCTTTCCTGACTCTATCGGCGTCTACAGGCGAGTTAGTAGGCTTCTTCAGTGCAGGTCCCAAGGGTGCGAGTTTGAGAGGGGCAGGGCGTCTGCGCGCCTTGCCTTTGGGCTTCTGCACGGCGTGCGCATTACCCACCGGAGACTTGGGCGCGAATGCAAATACCCTATTGGGAGACCGAGGTCCAAATGCAGCGACATCGATCATGAACTCGGGCTTGCGCAAGTGCTTGGCTGCACGGCGAGGACGCGAGGGGAGGGAGAGTACGCTCATGCCGATTTTACGGGAAGAGAGAACAGCATCATCGGGTTGTTGTTCTTCAACGATGTAGGTCGGGTCGAGATCTGAGTCTTGTGTGGACACGCTGCCTCTGCGGTCTTCTCCTGAAGCAAGCCCGACGATAGCAACAGCCTCGTTCTCTTTCTCCTCACCATCCTCGTCAAATTCCACCCATGGCATATCCTCATCCTCATTCATCGGGATCGCTTGCTGCTGATCACCTCCTAGAAGGTGGGCATACTCCAACTCCTCATCCTGATCCCACCACATCCCGCCCTTGCCATCCCTAAACACGTCCCCAACCGCCATACCCGCATTCACATGAGATCCCGCTGCCTGCCTTGCCTGATGCTCCATCACTCTCTTGGCATGCGACTCCATACTGCCCCCATCCGCAAACTGCATCAGTGCCAGCTCATTCGCCAAAGGCGGTGGCGCCTTTACGTATGCGTATTTCGCCTTTTTGCGCTTAACGATCGTGGCGGAACAGATTTGGGCTTTGGAGCTCTTTTGGGCGGCTTTCTTGGTGGGAGAAGAGGGGGGCATGGTGCTGGCGTTGGATTTGGAGCGTGGGCGGAGGAGAGTGAGGGAGCGGAAGCGCTTGATGGTGCGTTTGTTGGCTGGGGGCGAGGTGGGGATGGGAGGGATGGGGATGTGCGCGTAGGGAGAAGCGGAGGCGAGAGCAGGGGATTTGGGAGGGACGGGGCCAGGAGCGTGACGCTGGAGGAAAGGAGATGGCGTCGAGGGGGTTTTGGGGAGGTGCAGGAATACGGAAGTGTATCCAAGTGCGGTCAAGTCAAAGTCCTTCGCAGAGGGGGTGGCCGTACGGGGGGTCTCGATGAGGTGATTGAAGGAGCTGGATGAGGCACGGGTATGAGAGATGGATGGACGGCGACCGTGACGCGTGATGGACGGACGACGCGAGCTAGAGACGGATGGGCGGCGGTGGGGAGAGCGGGGTGCGGGGGATCCAGGCTGGATCTGAGCGGCCCAGGAGGTGATGTGGGAGAATGTGTTGGAGCGGCGTCGAGTAGGGTGCGGAGGGGTAGCAGCGAGTGGGAGAGGGACAGCGACTGGGGTAGGAGGGAGTGGCTGAGTGGGACGCTTCTTTTGAGGGGGCGGGGGAGGTCTCGCGAGGAAGGAGAACTGCTGGTTCTTATTAGACGTGGTCCTCGGCGCGTAATTAACGGAGCTGGTGATGGGGTGGGCCGGGGCAGACATGTTAATGGATTGCGGCGTAAAAGAGGAGCAGAGCAAAGGTAATTTTTGGAGCGAGGATGGCAAAGAGACGGAATCAGCCGCTTCTGCCAATCGAAGTCAGTTTCGCTGGGAATAAAATATATTAAGAGTGACTCACCAGTCGTAAATTAGATGCGTGTAATAGGATAACAGCTGTAGACAGCAGACGTAGAGAGCGGTGGTGTAGAGACTGAAGAGGAAGGAAGAGCGGAACACAGGAGACTAGCTCAGCAGTGTTGGGATGCTGGCTGTGGATCCAGGTGTGTCCTTATAATAAACGCGGGGAACAAAAGCTCGCCGCGCACTGGGGCTATGAACAATAGCATTTCGAGGACTATAGGTTTATAAGCGCAAGGTAAATAGCAGAATGCAAAGTATCGGAGCAACCTTGTTCGAGACAGTGCGCCTGTCAATGTTTTGTACAAAGCTGCACAAATAACGCGTCTATTGTTCGCCGGACCCCAGCCACCGTCCTCCCGCCAAAATACAACGATTTCCCAATCCATTGCTCCTCATCTTCTGGTCACCGGTCTTCCGTTTTTTTATTGTCGCTCGGGGAGAAGCACCCTATCGCTCCTGGATCCGCACGCGCCTCCCCTCCTCTCCGGCAGATTTGCAAGGCCCTGCGCTAGTTTGACACTCTCGCTCACACCTGCTCACACGTCTTCTCCTCGGGCTGCTCATATTCTGACTGACTGCTTATGCACCATAAAAACCCACCCCTCTCTAAAGAAGTACTTACGCTTGTTATCGAAGATAATAGCAAGTACAAGAACCCGTGTCGCGACCATCGATAACGATACCGATGTTCATTGTACAATGTTCCATGCACTTCCGCCCAAGGCATTTGAGCGGCGTGTTCTCAGCACGTCATTCGCGCTTTATGCATACCCTACTGGCACATAATTAACTAGCCCATCTATCCGAGATCATTACATTAAGGGAATTTTTCCCAAGTACATAATGGATACAATGAACTCGACGAAAGGATAATAAGTGCGCGTGTTCTCGACGTTCCGAAGTCGTTCTTTCCTGCAACCGCGTTCCTTGACTTCCCTCGACACGCCTATGATCTGTGGAACATTCTATCCAACACGTCGACACTCAATGTAACCATATAATCACACTCTTGTCTTTTCAAATCAACCGGTCTACACTGGCGTTATTATTCCCTGCTAGCAACCCGAACCATCCAAATTCACCCGACCCCGCTATTTGTCTTGTACATTGATAGTTCTTCCAGACGAGAGAGCGTTCATTGTAATTCCAACCCAGCGCACGCGACTTTGTCTTCAACAAATCAATCGTGTCTTCTTTGTATGTTGGTGGATTTGTTGTCCCTCGTCCTCATTGGTTCATCCTTGTCCTGTCCTGTGGTCACCTCAACATTCCATGCAATACATCCGCACTCGCTTATTGTTCATCCACCTCTGTGGTCTCTACAGTTTCGCAGGATTGCGATTCTCCTGCGGTCTCCCGCACATCGTGAATTGTCTCATAAGGTTGTAGGCAATATCCCGACTGAATATCAGCTCGACAAGTGCTTATTCATTCTGTGAGAACTTCCCACTTTCAGAAAAAAGTGGGTCGTAGACAGGAAATATTCCTCAGTGAGCTATGACTACGACCTCTATTCCTTTATTCTGCTGTAAATCTATAGCAATGAGTTACCTTCCCTAGGCTCCACTCCACCGTGAAATAATAAGCCCGGCGTGAGGATCAAAAGTTGCTTTAACGCCATTATTCTCACTCAAGTTAGGAGGAGCTCGCTCGCACTTTATCCGTCTGGTCTTTTAATCATTTTATTCCAGGGTTTTCAGATATCGGACGGCCTGTGCTAGAGGTTCAAACCCAATGTTCCTGCCTGACTTTGTGCCCTCTAAATCTGGAATATTTAATCCGTGTTCTTGTATTTAATGCATGCCGTCAAACCGTTTGCTGAATACCTCTAGGATTTCAGCATTGAATCGACACTCTGGAGAGCTCGAATACATATGAGCCGTTCCAGCAACAATACACTTCTCTTCGCTTTTGCTGTCAAGTACCATAGAAATATAAGTAGAACAAAAGATGTATCTGCGTTAAATTTTATCTCCGCGATTTGGACGCTTGCTGCTAAGTCTTGCCTAGTCTTGAGCGCTTGAGCCATTATGGTGCCCACAATTCCATATTAAGTAAGTTTTGAATCTAGAATAATGCCTACACAAATGTTGTACATATTCTAATTACCTCCTCCAACACTGGAATATTCTTAGAGGGTATCCAGCCCCCAATGTAGCTTATTGATGCGTGATTTGCCCATTGGTTTGAGCAGAAGTTTATGCTGGACCCCGCCTCTTGCCAGTTGGCATATTTACCGTTCATTGTATCAACTAATCTTTATCCACAAACAACTGCCCCATGGCTGAGTTGGTTACAGCGTCCGACTGTTATGCAAACTAGATGCACTAGATTATCGGAAGGTCGAGAGTTCGAGCCTCTCTGGGGCAGAAAGTTTTTAATACATCCCCTTCTTGGATGCGAGAGCGGTGAAAGGATGAGGGAGCAGAGTAATCTAATAATTAGTTTTATGGACATGACCAAAATCCTGCCTTCTTTCTTTCATTGTTGCTGCCACACTCAAATTGCACTTGTTATCTGTATTAGTATTACTAGCAATTATACATATAGGTTTCATGCTATTAACACACTTTAAAACATACTTTTTTTTTTTACCTAAGAAATAATAGAGGAATGACTCAGAATGCTTTTTAAGGAGAGGTTTACATCTTTTGGAGGTAAAAAAAATAGAAAATTTACCGACTCATGGACCATGAGCTGCATACGAGTGCGCGCCATCATCTAATGTTAATATAAATGTTGCCCCTTAAGCCTTGAATCTATTTAGAGGCACCTTGCAGCATTACCAATGCCATAACGGATCGACGTATGATATTTCATCCCTTTGGGGAGGAATAAACAGATGTATCATGGCTGGAACGAAGGTAAGTAGGTGCTGGCATCATCATTAATATTACCCAAGTTCCAATGTACAAATGCAAGTAAGATACAGTAATAAATACGGTGTCATATCTTTCATGATCTCCAGGAGCCAGCTGAAGAGCGTATTCCAGGCGACAGAGGAGGAGAATATCCGATTTCTGTCCGAGGAGAGGTTATTGCCCCAGGCAAGTATAAGGGAATAGTCGGGATAAGCTCGAATACATGCTGCGCAATGGCTCGTGAACGTCCAACGCCGGGTACCGCATCTGTGCTGTTCATGACAGCGTGCACCTGCGCCTCCTGTGCGAAGGATTCCGGATGTTCCGTTGCTGGTGTTGCCACAACGTTAGAGCTGCTGACTCCTCGTCCATCCCAAATACAACGGATATCATTGCCAGGTATGATCTGGGCCAGACGACCTGTTTCAACGTGTCGAATTTCAATAAACCGAGAATCGAACAAGAGAACATATGGTGAATGCAAGGCAACACGCTCTGCTGTTCCCTCCCATTCGATAGTTCCAGCAGACCGAGATGGGTCACCATGTTTATCCACGTATATACCGAATTCTATGAACTCTAAGTCAGAAGAAATGTTCCAAATGTTGATCGTAAGGCGTACCATCATAACATAGAAGGAATTCATCATCGGCAGATCTGAACATACCCATTGGTCGACAGGACTCGCACCGTTTGGCAAGCTGAGCGAGTTTCGGGTCCTCTCGCATAGGGATTGTAACACTGTTAAAGCTACCATGGTGGCATTAGTGAGATACTTTCAACAGGAAGAGAAAATACGACATACTCATTTAGATCCATAATCTCAAACCCTTTAGCACAGAGGATGGCGATACGGGCTTTTAAGAAAATGAGATCAAATGATTCAGAGGGAAGGAAGAAGTCTCTATAAATGCGGAACCATTCCGACTTCGCAGAACGGAACCCGAGACGAGATCCAAAGCCAGCAGGAGCTTTAACTCGTTCGTTAATTTTGTCGCCGACTGGCTCGAGCACTCGGAAAATACTGTCCAGCTGAAGTGCAATGTGAGATTAAAAGAGATATACAAGAAATAGTCACATACTCCTTTTTTCTTCATGTAAATGATAAGCGTACGCCCATGGAGCGTGCCTACACTAAAGAAGTGAACATCCTTCGTTCCATTCAGTTTTTGGGGAACTTGGGATGTCTGTGCTGCATGAGGTGAAGAAGGCACCAATGCCTCAATATGGTAAGCGAAGAGAGACTAAAGCATTGTCAGTAACAAGAACAGGCTTGTTAAGTGGACGCCTGACCTTGTCGGCCAACACCAAGAAGATGCCAAACTCTTCGAGCATTGCACATTGAGTAACCATTTTCAGGTGTAGCACACGACGCATAGCTAGGGAGCACGTCAATAACAGTGTTGGCAATTTTCATATAAGGTTACACACATTTAGGATCGTGTCGGAAACCAATCCATACACCTTCCGCGCAGCCAATGGCGACAAGCGCCCGTCCATCTGGCGTGTCTGAAGAATAGTAGATCAATACAAGACCTTAAAGCTATGCGTTTTTCAGACGTACTGAATGGCACTGAACAGGTAACTTTCCCAGTATATGTGCCATCTTGGTTCCATGCAGGCGTTTGAGAGCTGACAGCCATGGATGGTACTAAGAACGTATCCGAGCTAAGGGTCTCTACCTCGAAGACCTTGTTGGATTCTTGAACCACCTTGCGTAGACCAAGGGCTTCCTCAATCTTTTGCTTCCACTCGGTGCGAGCTTGTGCGGATTCGGCGTAAAGTATATAAGGACCGCCTAAGCGACCATTGTGGTGCAGCGTCAATGGATAAACGGAACGAGAGTCCGTGGCGCTTTCAGGAGTGGGTGCGTTCCCTTGCTCTCCGTGACGCTCTCCTCCTCGAAGATTGCGAAGAATGCCAGTACTTCGTTGCGTCGGCGGGTCAGTAGTGTTGACAAGCGTCAGCAAATCAAGAGGGATTGGCTATTAGAAATCGCGATTAGAACGGTGATACGTAGTAGTATCAATATACATACTCGTCTGTTAACGTGATATTTGACCACCCCATCTCGTTCTTTAGGCTTTGTCATAACCACTATCAGGTGGTGAGCCAAAAGTCAACGTTCAGGCCATATTTAACTCACAATAATTGTCAAACAAAAGTACGAAGAGTTCGCTCCATCCATTCCATTCCAGACCACTTTCAGGCTGACGAAGAAGCTTGCCAGAATGAATTAATGAACGGTTTGGATCCAGTAGATCCATGTCCTACACAGCAGGTAAGTAGAAGCCAGAATCAAAGCAGATTTCGGACTCACAATAGACTCGCCGACTTTGAAGACGAGGTTAGAGTTGTACCTCCATAACTCTACTTTTTGCTTGGCTGAAAACACTCCAGGTTCTGTCTCCTTCCCGAGAGCCTTGATGACATCAATTACATGAGGTATTGAATCTCTATCTTCGTGGCCAGGTTCCGACTCCTCCATGATACCCTTGAGAAGGAGCTCATATCGAAGCAGACGAGGGATGGGCCGATTGATAAAATTCTTCATGTCGAGTCGGTGGGCATCTGGATGACGAACACATTGCTGTTGAAGGAAGAATTAGATGGCGCGGCTAAGATGTCAGAAACTGTTGACACACCTCTACAAAAGCCTTGAAAGCAGGATTGTTCGCCATCTCATCGTCAATACGATAAGCAGCAATTGGGTAGTTGGGTATGTATTCCATATACACATCTCTGAAATGGAGTGCAGCATCGAACACCGCAGCAGTAACGCTTCGAATCAACGGATGTTCTTCCCGCTGTATCTCATGGAACTTCTCGACCAGCTTTGCGTGATGCACATGAAGCTCGGCGAAGTTGTGAAACACATCCTGGATGAACTGCTCGAGCTTATCAGGGGCCATGATAGGTGGATTCGCTTTGCGGAGGGGTTGAATATACATCTGAAGAGACAGTTAGGGCTATTTTCAACAAAGGGTGATGCACCGATACATACAATCTCAATATTTTCCAAATCCTTTACATAAGCCATTTCTCCTTTGATGAGTTCGAATATGATGCTAGAGATGTTGTCAGATCGGTGCACTGCAGTTGACACGACCGATTCCACTCACTTCTGGCGCTTTGCTTCCTTCTTCGGGATATCCTTCCTGACCTCCTCAGAAACCAACGTATGCCATTCCCATCCACCGATATTACCTTTGCTCATCGAAGCCTGGAATGTGAGTAGTTGTCCGACACTTTGCAGATTCTTGATAGCCTCAATAGCTTCTTTCAAGAACTCCCGATCCGTATTCTCTTCAGTGGTCTCGGTGAGGATGGCCTCAAGCAGGACCGGGTATTTCTGTAAGTGCTCGGCAGGTCGATTGAGGAAATGCTTCAAGTCCAGACGGATAGATTCAGCACCACGAGCGATCTCCCGTGAACATTTCTAATAAGAGTTTAGATGTAAACTGCAACAATGTTAAGAACACGTACCTCAAGGAACAGCCTGAACTCTGGGTTAGTTTCTACCTCGTCTTTCAGTCGCTTTTCAGCAATGGGGTGATGTCCAATGTAGGTTGGGTACGCAAGCCTGAACTCAGTAGCAGCATCCAAGAAAATGTCTCCAATCCGTCCAATGACGACACCCTGCTCTCTCTGCCGAACATACATGACCTCCAACAAACGACGGTTGCACTCGCGCAGATCAAGAATGTTGCCAAAGAGCTCATCGATGAAGTCTTCCAGCAGGTCGGGTTGGATGACTGGTGGGTTAGCGGTCCGGATAGGTTTGATGAAGACTGTCTCGACGATATCCAGGTCTTGGAGGTATTGCTCCTCCTTGCTGATCAACTTGTGGATGATACTGCATTATCCGTGAATATAGAAAGATTAAATGTACAGTGTAGACGTACGTCTGTCGCTTGGCTTCTTGTTCAGATATCGAGTTAACGATGGCCGGGCCGACCATCTCAGCCCAGTCGCCTTTCTCAACTACCGTAGGAGCCTCCACGGGAAGAGGCAACACCGCAGAGAGCGAGTTACCCTACAAAGCACATTCATTCAAGCTTCTCATCACGTTTAACCGTCCAACTCACCTGCCTAGGACATCCATATGCATAACACGGACCACCATCACCACAGCTCGGAGAATAACATCTCGTAAGGACAGTAACGACACCTGTCGGGAGCTCCTCCATTTCTGGCACTAAATCAGATCCTCCCTCCTGGTCATCGAGGAACATGTACACGTCCTTGATGTCATCTTCCAGCAGGCGGCTGACCCATTCGACTTCGTAGAAGAAGAGCTGGCTTTGGAGGCTGCGAGCGACTTGGAGGGCGATCCGTCGATCGCTTGTTGACATACCGTGGTTGATGGCGAGTTCGCGTTGGATCTTGGACTGAATTGTCGACTGTATGGAATGTATAAATCAATGGATAATAAGACATAAGTAAGCAATGAAGCCGCACCACGATGTCCTTCCCAGTAAACGCACGCGGATACGGTATATTCCCCTT